TTTATAAGAAAGGTTCCACGGATGAGAAATTTCGGCTATGAGGATAAATTGTAAAAGTTGGGACAGTTTTCCTTGGAGAACAGGTCCAACTGAGGCATTCAAGAGGGCAGTGGACAATTATTTGGATAAAAGTGTGTAAGGATATCCGGAAAAGCAGGAGATTGGCAGTAGGTAAGGATACTCGTTTGAAGAGTCAGTTTAGGTACAATGGGCCAAACACAATCCTTCTCCACTAACAATTCCATGTTTCTGCAGCATGGTGGGTCATCAAATCTGGTTAAACTTCACAAAAGATTACAATTTTTAATTTTGTCGATCTGGCCTTGAAACGTTCCCTCAAGAGTCATTCTGTCATAGACTGCCTCAAAGCTTGCTTCTAATCTAGTTGATCACCATCCTGTCCTGCCTGAGACTTTTTAAACTGCACCTCAATGCTTACTCAAAGGCATAACTCCAGCTTTTTGCTGATAGCTACCTCCATGAAGCTAAAACTTTCCTGTGTTTGCCCTGAGCTCTATTCTTGCTCAGCTGCTTCAAGCAGACTCTACTTGCGTTTTTTTTTTAACTCCCTTTCTCAGCTGAACTGATCTCTTACAGGCACCTGGCTTCTTAACAGCTCCCACAACATCCATGACTCTTCCCAAGTCCCACCCGCAACAACTAATTGCCTAATAATGGGTGACACGGTGGCTCAGTGGTCAGCACCGTTGCTTCACAGCGCCAGGGACCCAGGTTTGATTCCACCCTCGGGTGACTGTCTGCGTGGAATTTGCACGTTCTCACCATGTCTGCATGGGTTTTTGCCAGGTGCTCCAGTTTCCTTCCACTGTCCTAAGTCCTGCAAGTTAGGTGGATTGGCCATGCTAAATTATCTATAGTGTTCAGAGATATGTAGGTTAGGTGTGTTAGCCATAGGAAATGCAAGGTTATAGGGTGAGGAAATGGGTCTGGGTGGGATGGCCTTCGGGGGGGTCGGTGTGAACACGATGGGCCAAATGGCTTGTTTCCACACTGTAGGGATTCTATGGAATAATTCCACCATCTGCCATGCCTGGATTTGAACCCCGGTCCCCAGACATTATGTGGGTCTCTGTATTAGCATCTACTGATAATTCCACTAGGCCTTCATCTCCCCCTGATTCATGCACGAAGAAAATCACATGCCGCTGCAGTGCACATTTTTGAAGTCTCTCTCTATTTAAATATTGGACTGCCTTTTCATTCTTTCTACCAAAGTGAATGACCTATCACTTTTCTCTATTAAATTCCATTTGCCAAGTTTCTACAAGTTGTATTTCTTCCTAACCTTCGGCAGTTAGGGATGGTATTAAATGCTGGCTCAACTAGTGACGCCCACTTCCCATGAATTAATTTTTAAAAAGTTCCCACCTGCTGCAAAGTTTTCCACCAGCTCAGGAGAAGATGGGGACAGAGCTGCAAAGTCACTGATCTAGTTATCCTGAAGCCCGTGTTATTGCTCTCGGGCATGGGTTCACATTCCACCACAACTGCCGACAGAATTTAAATTCAGTTCATAAAATCTGGAATTGGAAGTTTGTCTCAATAATATCAACATCTTGGAATTCACCACTTATTTAGTTGGACCAGTTTCATGAATATTGTGCTTACTAAAGCAGGTCAGAGACTGGGGGTTCTCAAAGCTTCTCCATCATCTACAAGGCACAAGTCAGGAGTGTGATGGAATAATCCCTGCTTGTTTGGAAAGTACAACTTCAACAACACTCAAGAAGCTTGACACCATCCAGGATAAAGCAGCCCACTTGCTTGGCACCTAACGGGGAGGCGATGGCCTCGTGGTATTACTGCTGGACTGTTAATCCAGATAACATTATGGGGATCCAGGTTTGAATCCTGCCACCGCAGATGGTGGAATTTGAATTCAATAAATATCAGGAATTAATAGTGTAATGATGACCGTGATTCCATTGTCAATTGTTGGTAAACCCATCTGGTTCACTAATGTCCTTTAGGGAAGGAAACTGTCATCCTTACCTGGTCTGGCCTAAATGTGACTCCAGACCCACAGCATTATGGTTGAGTCTTAACTGCCCTCTGGGCAATTAGGGATGGGCAATAAATGAATTAAAAAAACACTAAGCATTCAGTCCTTCTGACAGTGGCAGCAGAATGTACCATCTGCAAGATGCTACAGCAACTCCCCTGGAAGGACAAAGCAACAAGGCATCGTAACACCATTATCACCAAATTCCCCTTCTTTATGTCTCACATATGGGGGCATAGACAAGATGAGCCTAACGGCCTCCTTCTGTAATCTATCATTTCCACGGTTCTACAGAGGGAGATAGTGACAAAGCAGCAATGCCATCATGTTAGCATTTTATCAGAGTAGAAAAATCTGACACTGGAAGTTGGCATCAGTAATAGTAAACATGAAGCCACCATGAAACACTTTGCCTGATTAATGAGCAGCTCTCCAAAAGCTTGTGATTTCAATAAACCTGTTGGACTGTAACCTGGTGTCATGTGATTTCTGACTTTGTCCACCTCAGTCCAACACCAGCAGCTCCACAACATGAAATCATCTTGCATTGTTATAAAAACCCATCTGGTTCAGTGTTGCAAATCTGCTGTCCTTTTCCGATCTGGCCTACATGTGACTCCAGCAATGTGGTTGACTCTTAAACGCCTTTTGAAATGGCCTAGCAAGCCACTCATTTTAAGGGCAACGAGGGATGGGCAACAAAATGCTGCCATTGTCAGTAACATCCAGATCCCATCAAAGAATGAAGAAAAGAAATATCATCCTGGCTTTGGAAATATAATATCAGTCTTTCATCATCACTGGATTGGTAACCTACACATAATGGTAGGTAGTGATTCGAGTAGCTTACCAATGATACTGCACTCTGTGACCGAATGAAAGAAACTCACATAAATTCTACAGAGCTGTGGTCTTCAGAGCATATGCAGGAATCTCAAATGATTTGGCTTTAGTCTCACATATTATCAGGCAAAGGAAATTACCTATAATCACATGCATGCCCAGTCTTGATAGATGTTTTGCGGTTTCATACCCAATCCCTTTGGCACCACCAGTCACTATGGCAACCTTCCCTTTTTGCGGAGCAAGAACTGCAACAAAAAAAAAATAGAATTTCTTGATGACCCAGTTCTTCTTGTGTTGAACAATTACAAAAGCCTTTTTGTAATGGTTATGTTATTGGACTAACAATATAAAAACTTGGACTGATAATCCTGAGAATGGGAGTTCAAATTTATATGTCATTTTGACAGGTTCAGTTTAAAAGATATCAGCATTAAACAAAAGTAGTAGCAGTCAAATTGTTCAAAATTTGACTAGTTTCATCAGACCTGCAGGAATGGAGAACCACTAATTAGATGAGAATTTTAGTGCAAAAGAAGCCCATTTGTGTCAGAAAACCCAAGTGAACACATTTGATCATTCTACATTAGACTTCACTCCCATACCAATGAAAAACAATAATCTCTGTGGGTGAGATTGAGCAATTGATTTGATTTGATTTTGTTTCATTGATTTCTTGTCACGTGTACCTATATACAGCGAAAAGTTTTGTTTATGAGAAGTACAGGCAGATCACAGTAAGCAAGGACATACAAGTCATAGGGTGAAAATAAAACTAGACAGAACTTAAATTTAAGAAATGTTAGAGTTAGATCTGCTGTAGGGAGCTCGCCAGGAGTGGCACAGTGTCGGCACCATCTTGAATGAATTGACTTCACTTGCATACTGAGTACACAGAGGAACAATAATCCGGAACAAAAACAGAAGTTGCTGGAAAAGCTCAGCAGGTCTGGCAGCATCTGTGAAGGAAAAAACAGAGTTAACGTTTCAGGTCCAGTGACCCTTCCTCAGATGACTGGACCCAGACCCGGCCCCACCGGACTCAAAACATTACCTCTGTTTTTCCCTTCACAGATGCTGCCAGACCTGCTGAGCTTTTCCAGCAACTTTGTTTTTGTTCCTGATTTACAGCATCCGCAGTTGTTTCGGTTTTTATTCGGAACAATAATCGGTTACATTGAGCAATGCATTTGCACCTTTCTTAGATCTAGCCAAATCGATTTTGACCTTGAACCCTCTATAACATCCTCTTTCTTGAGTACTGCAATGCTCTCCTTAATCAAAAATGACTCCCCGCCTCCTTTTTTCTCTTTCCTATCTTTTCTGAATGCCTTGTAGCCTGAAATATTTAACACGCAGGCTTGCCCTTCCTTAAACCAAATCTCCATTATTACCAATACATCATAATTCCACAAGGTAATCTAAAGACCGCCCTCCTGTGCCATCTCTGTCTGCTCCTTCTCTCTTGCACTGTTTCATCCGGTCTCAATTCTCTCTCTCGTGCTGTTTTATCTGATGTCCACTCTGTCTGTCATGTCATTTTTCAGGTGTCCAGCTCCCTCTCTCATGTCCTGCTCCCTCTCTCTTTACACTATGCTACCTGGCGTCCGGTCTCTCTCCTCACACACTGCATTATCCACTCTCCCACAATTCTGTTATTCTACTGGGTTGACTATACAGAGACATATACCAATAACCCAAAGAATGCACGTTCAAATCGACTGTGGCATTTTGAAAAGTTAAATTCAGCTTCAAAAAAATCAGCACCAAAGGAAAATGATGGTTAAATTGTTACAAAAATACAACTGGTTTCATCAGACCAACAGTTGTGGTGTCCAACAAAACAGAAGTAAATTCAGTGCAAGAGAAGCTCATTTGACACACCAAGCCCATACCAAACGAAAATTCGCCAATGATTATTCTACAATGGACTTCACTCTTACCAATTATTTTGAGGAATAATAGATCTCCTGATCCATGTTGGAGGGAAACAAAATCATGCAGAATTATTAAAATTTCCATTAAATTTCCTGTGTTCAGGAAAGATTTCTGACTCAATATGTAGATATACCGACTAGAGGGGAGGCCATATTAGATTTGGCGCTTGGCAACGAACCAGGTCAGATGTCAGATCTCTCGGTGGGAGAGCATTTCGGTGATAGTGATCACAACTCCCTGACTTTTACTATAGTCATGGAGAGGGATAGGAGCAGAAAATATGGGAAAGTACTTAATTGGGGTGGGGGATTAAAATGCTATTAGGCAAGAACTACGGAGGACCAATTGGGATCAGGTGTTCTCAGGGAAAGGCACAATAGAAACGTGGAGGTTGTTTAGGGAGCAGTTGCTACAGGTACTGGATAGGTTTGTCCCACTGAGGCAACGAAGGGATGGTAAAGTGAAGGAACCTTGGATGACAAGACATGTGGAACACCTAGTCAAGAGGAAGAAGGAAGCTTACTTAAGTTTGAGGAAGCAAGGATCGGACAGGGCTCTAGAGGGTTACAAGGTAGTCAGGAAGGAACTGAAGAATGGACTTAGGAGAGCTAGAAGAGGGTATGAGAAAACCTTGGCGGGTAAGATCAAGGAAAACCCCAAAGCTTTCTATACTTATGTGAGGTACAAGAGGATGGCCAGAGTGAGGGTGGGGCCAATCAGGGATAGTGGAGGGAACTTGTGTGCAGAGTCAGTGGGGGTAGGGGAGGTCCTTAATGAATACTTTGCTTCTGTATTCACCAGTGAGAGGGACCTTGACGTTTGTGAGGACAGCATGAAACAGGCAGATATGCTCGAACAGGTTGTTGTTAGGAAGGAGGATGTGCTAGAAATCTTGAAAAACATCAGGATAGATAAGTCCCCTGGGCCGGACGAGATATACCCAAGGTTACAACGGGAAGCAAGGGAAGAGATTGCTGCCCCTTTGGCAATGATCTTTGCATCTTCACTGTCCACTGGAGTAGTGCCAGAAGATTGGAGGGTGGCAAATATCATTCCCTTGTTCAAGAAAGGGAATAGGGATAATCCTGGAAATTACAGACCAGTCAGTCTTACTTCTGTCGTGGGCAAATTATTGTAAAGGATTCTGAGAAATAGTATTTATGATTATTTGGAAAGCACAGTTTGATTAGAAATAGTCAGCATCGCTTTGTGAGGGGCAGGCCATGCCTCACAAGTCTTATTGAATTCTTTGAGGATGTGACAAAACACATCAATGAAGGTAGACCAGTGGATGTGTTGTATATGGATTTTAGCAAGGCATTCGATAAGGTTCCACATGGTAGGCTCATTCAGAAAGTAAGGAGGCATGGAATTCAGGGAAATTTGGCTGTCTGGATACAAAACTGGCTGTCCAACAGAAGACAGAGGGTGGTAGTAGATGGAAAGTATTCAGCCTGGAGCTCGGTGACCAGTGGTGTTCCACAGGGATCTGTTCTGGGACCTCTGCTCTTTGTGATCTTTATAAATGACTTGGCTGAGGAAGTGGAAGGGTGGGTGAGCAAGTTTGCCGATGACATAAAGGTTGGTGGAATTGTGGACAGCGTGGAGGGCTGCTGTAGGTTGCAACGGGATATTGACAGGATGCAGAGCTGGGCAAAGAAGTGGCAGATGGAATTCAACCTGGAAAAGTGTGAAGTGATTCATTTTTGAAGGTTGAATTTGAATGCAGAATACAGGGTTAATGGCAGGATTCTTGGCAGTGTGGAGGAACAGAGGGATCTTGGGGTCCACGTCCATAGATCCCTCAAAGTTGCTACCCAAGTTGATAGGGCTGTAAAGAAGGTGTATGGTGTGTTGGCTTTCATTGGCAGGGGAATTGAGTTTAAGAGCCGTGAGGTTATGCTGCAGCTCTATAAAACTCTGGTTAGACCACACTTGGAATATTGTGTTCAGTTCTGGTCACCTCATTACATGAAAGATGTAGAAGCTTTAGGGAGGGTGCAGAGGACATTTACCAGGATGTTACTTGGATTGGAGGACAGGTCTTATGAGGAAAGGCTGAGGGACCTCAAGTTTTTTTCATTGGAGCAAAGAAGGATGAGAGGTGACTTGATAGAGGTGTACAAGATGGTGAGAGGCATAGATAGAGTGGATAGTTTTAGACCTTTATTCCCAGGGCAGAAATGACTCTTACGAGGGGGCATAATTTTAAGGTTATTGGAGGAAGGTATAGGAGAGATGTCAGCGGTAGGTTCTTCACACAGAGAGTGGTGGGCATGTGGAATGCACTGCCAGCAATGGTAGTGGAGTCAGATACTTTAGAGACTTTTAAGCGACTCTTGGATAGGCACATGGAGGATAGTAAAATGTAGGGTATGCAGGGTAGATTGATCTTAGTAGGATAATAAATCGGCATAACATCGTGGGCCGAAGGGCCTGTACTATGCTGTACTGTTTTATGTTCTATGTTCTATAACTTTCAATGCTGCTTTGGAAAATCCTATAAGTCAGGCATTGTGATGTCTTTTACGTCTAAGTACATAAAGTTGCAAACTGATGAAGAAAATTGTTCCAGCCAGTCCTTCCCGCAGCAAAGTAGGGAAGGATCTTGACAAATAATACAGATCAATGCATTCTACTAAAGATGCCAATCAAAAATTCAAAGCTATGACTTCAAAGACCTAATCCTTACCCCAAATTATAACACTTTATTCATATTTTTAAACAGGAACTCAAGGATGACGGGCCAACTTGGTACTGATAAACTAATCGTGGCTGTAACCGACCTTAATTGATTCAATTTTTCTAGCTAATCCATTCTCTCTGCTTTGTCAGTTCACATGAACCATTGCTTTAGATCCGGCTTCTATTTTTGTAATTTGTACAATCCATCACACACACTGAAACGGAATGAATTTGAACTGAATACAATGAGACAAGTTCTCATCTCACGGACCAAAATAAAACCATCAAAAGTCATTTGAAGTGAAGACATATAATTGAATCAGATCCTATGATATCACGGGCAAAGAGTTAGTAGCAAGGCTGGATGTTTAACGTGAAATTCAGACATCCTAGGTAATGCAAGCTTATGCAAGCTTACATTCAAAGCAACGTAGAATCAGCCTAGCAATAGTCCATAGATCCTGCAAACTCAGTTTCTGAAATCTCAAAGTGTCCATGCCCTTTCAGAAAACTTTTCATCCTTCATCCTGTGCCCTTTCACTTTCTCTCCTGTCTCTTGGTTTTCATTGAGAAGTGGTCTGATGTGTGCCAGAAGTTATTTTACACCTTAACTGAAGATTTATTC